AAATTTCCCTTCTCATGGATATAAAATGCGTTTCACTTATTGAACCGAATATATCGATTTCTATGACTAATATGTGAGTTGTAGATCGACAAAATACCAGTGGTTTTTTAAGAGGTTATTTCGTATCAGCATAGGAATTGAACTTATGATCACCCATAGGCATAATGCGATTCAAGCATTCAAATTTCAACATCATGTGTATAATACTATTACAATGCATGCTACTCAAAATAATATCACCTTCAAAACATTATTTCATTCATGAAATGGTGATTAATATTAAAACATTAAAGCATTAAAAAAAAAAAATACTATAACAAGTGTACCATCTTAGTAAATTATGACGATGGTATGTAATTACTCCAACAAAATGAAAATTATTAAACCTACATTTGAATTAAGAGAAAGAAATGCTGATCTTGATACATCATCAATCTCTTTTCTTCAATTGTTGAAAGGTTGCTCAATCATCTATCTATTCATCTCTTCTTCTGCTTTATCAACCTTTACCACCTTATTATTAATAGAAAAAACTATATGATCGATATACTATTTATGTATATCAAAAATGGAAATCATATTTAGGCTTTTATCTCAAAAATAAATTTAAGAAAATGAGAAAACAAGTAACAAAGAAGTGATACATTGATTTTAAAGAGGTTGAACTAGAGTGATCTCTTGGAGGGGGTGGACCATAGTAGTAATAAGGAAAATAAGGAACTATTGGATTCGGGGGCGAGGGTACGTTGTAAGGTCCAACCCCACCAGCACCACCGCCACCACCTCCACCGCCAACGGGAGGTGGAGGAGAGTAATAATTCATAGTGGGCACGGAGATACCACCGTAAGGTGGTGGGTTATCCTTTGGAACTGTGGGTGTTAAGGAGGGTGGTGGGGGGCATTCGGGTAGGGCGGGCGGTGGAGGTGGTGGTTCTACAACTACGGGTGGTGGTTGACATGGGTTCTCACAAACTTCACACATTGTGCATGCAATTTGCTCTTTGGAAACAGTTGTTGAAGTCATTTTAGTAGGGTAAAAACAAAGGAAAATAGTGAAGTAGAGAATGTAAGGAATTATTTTGGCCATTTTGTTTGAGTTAGTGTGATTGAGAAAGGCTTTGGGAATAAGGAAAGATGGAAAGGTGGTGGAGAGATTAATTTGAGAAGGGTTTGTAATTGTAATGCATGTGTGTGTGTGAGGATTGAATGTGAAATCCATCATATATAATAATAATGAAATGCTAACGGCCCAAGCATTAGACAAAAAATAATGTAGTCTAAAATCCATGTTCTCTTCATCTTAATGTACTAGTATAATATTCTTCCTCAGAAAAGAAAATGAACACATAATATTCACTTGAGATTGTTTTTGTTTAATTCAATATGTTTATATAAAATATAAAAAAATAACTTAATAAATAATTTTATGTTATTTTGAATTTATTTTATTTCATTTTAGTTTCATTAGTTCAACCCAGCTGCTCAGCTTCACTATCAATATCTAGTCTGTAATAATATAAACTATAAGTATCATGTGTCCTCCTTTCCTTTCGCCCTTTATTTTGTACCTTTTAACAAATAGTAAACAAATTACCTTTTTAATTCACTATGGAAACTTATTGTTTACTTTATATTCCTAACTTAATATTATTTACGGGTGCATTTAAATGGAGACACCTTCATTTTCTTTCTAAACTCTTCAATTTTTTAACATAAATAAAACACACATTTTTTCCCTTCAACTTAACTGATATGAGTTGCTACCTTCGATTATTTTTATTTGCAACATTTACTATAAAAGAAAGCTAAACATTAGGTGCAACAAATGTTAATTTTCATTTATAAGAGGTCATTTGTCTCTATCTTTTTCCTCATCACATGTATGATGCATCCCTACTTTTCTCTCTTTATTTAACACTCACAAATAAATTTTTTGCATAGGAGTCTATGCTAGCTCATTTGTTGCAAATTAATCTAAATGGAGGTAGTAATATTAGTAGCCTATATGACATTGCACTGGCCAAAATGTTAGTTAAACCCAACAAGTAAGACTGCTTTTTTTTTTTTTTTTTTATTATTATTAAAAAAAAAAGAGTTATAATGCACGACAACACTCCTTACTTCCATATGATCAGACTCAGGACACTCAACAATATCAAATAGCTTGTCAAATTCTCTAAAAGGACGTTTGGTTCGCAAATTGGTATGGGTTTAATTGGAATCAAGAATGAAACCATAGTAGTATGGGTTTGAACTTGATTCTTAATACCACATGTTTATGTTTGGTTTGCTATGATTATGGAATGATTTTTTTTCTTTCATTTAATTTGATACATAAAGTTTAGGAATGAGACAAAAAAACCCACCCCCGGCCCCCTAACTTTTTAAACTCCATAGTTGAGAGTTTGAGGTATGGTTTGAAACTCTGAAAATTAAAAAATCAAACATAAGGTAATGGTTTAAACCATTTTAAACTTATACCTTATACCTATATTATGTGAATCAAACACCTCCTAATCTAGTTTTCTATTCCTGCAAAGATCCTCCTTTCCATTGTAGATTCGTGGATGGCTAGGCAAATTTTGAGATAGACCCTGATGCATCTTTCTTAGGTGATCCAATCTAAAAATACATCTTTTATTATTATCTGGGCTTCTTTTGTCTCCTCCAACCAACCTAATAATTATTCATCTTCTAAATATTTCACAACTTCATACCTCAATCTCTTTCTCTCTCACTTTTAAATCTTCCTCCTCTTTCTATTCCTCGTTCTCTTTCCAAAATTTCCAGAAATCAATTTCAAATTTCTTCTTCTTCAACCTTCGATTTGAAGATGTTAAATTGTGACTTGAAATCTAGTAGGGCTGACTTTAAATGCATATATCTCTTAAATTAAAAGTGATTTTGAGTTGATTCAAGTTGGAGGTGATATCTTGTTTCAAGAGCTTTCCAACTATAGATCATATGCCCAATTTCGATAAGAAACGAGAAAGTTATGACTGTTTTACGAAAACCTGACTAAGCTTGAAAATTGCGACGAGCAGGCAAGATATAGCTCTAGGCGAGTGAGCTATAGTTCGGCCTTTGAAGACTTGCGGCAGGCTTAAGCTAGCTGCCGAGCTATAGCTCGATAGTTCGGTTCTTCTAGGATAATTTATGGGATATTTCCTAAAATTATATCTTTCTATGACGGTTATTTGAGTATGCTTGGGGAGCAATTTAGGGTTTTTATTAGGGTTTCCTTGTGTTATAAAATGACCGTTTAGTTGATCAATTAGATCATACTTTTTAAGCCATTAGATTTAGGACTCCTTGTATTATTCTCGTTCTTTCTCCATTACAGTGAAGAAGCTCTCGAATCCCCCACCCGTGGATGTAGGTCTAATTTGACCGAACCACGTAAATTATTGTGTTCTTTGTTTATCTTCTTTATTGTTTTTTTCTCGTTCTTATTTTTTAATGACTTGTTCTGCATTAATGAAACACAATTACACCCTTTATTTCCTAACAGAAGAATTTGAAGTTTTGTTAATGGAGTCTCCACAACGAAATGAAGTTGAAGATGGCGGCTCTAGCGAAAAGAAGGTGGTTGAGACGAGAAAGTTTCAAAATATTTTGCTTTCGCATTCTTCAATGTTGATCGGGTCGGATCTAAATCGGGTTTTTTTGGGGTCAGATCAAGTAGGATCGGTCAGTTTTTAAAACCACTGAAATGTAGAAATTATTTCATTCGAGTATTATTTATTAAATTAAGTTCTCAATAAAATAGCTCAATGTTGTATTACTTGTCAACTTTGATTTATAAAATCATTGATTATAACAAGACGGCGATTGAGTACAGATATTCATATATATTGATTATGATAACAAATTATTAAAAAAAAAAATGATAATAAAATCTTTGAACTCATATTATGATATCCAAAGTCCAAATAAGCAACAAGGAAAAAGAACCCTTAAGTCCACAATTAAGGTTCTCTATAAATTAAAATACCTTAAGTACTTGTTGACTTTTGACTACATGGCATAAAATTACTTGTGTAAACTTTATAATCAAATTTAATAGAGCCTTCCTTGCATAATTTTGGTTGACTTTTCCTCCCAAATTTTTTTTATACGCGTAATTGGTCGCATAAGCTATGCTATGGAGTTATCTTAAGAAATTTCATATATTGATTTATTACTTCATAAGATTAAAAAAATAAAACAAAATAATAATAAAAATAAAAAATTCTCAGAAGAATTAAAAACTACGGTAATTATTTGATTAACGACTATTAAAATACTCCCTCAATCCTAAAATAATTATCATATATACTATATATTTTGGTCAATTATCAAATAATTGTCCTACCTTAAATCAAAATTTCACATCTCTTAATTCAATTAACCTGTGTATTAATTTATATTTTATGACAAAATCATGTGATTGTCAGTGTTATAAATGTCTAATAATATTTCGACTTGTTATCTTTATTTTAATAGTTGATCACTTTGCCCAACACGGTTTCATATATTTCCTCCGTTATTTTTTTAATATTACATCATGTTGACTTTTATATTGTTCACACGCTCTCATCGATTATCTACTGTAACTTAATTATATGTAATGAATAATATAGTCATATAAATTCTTGTTAGAATCGTCTTAATTTATACTTTTAAAAATCAACTTTTTTTATAATTTTTTATCTACTAAGATCTAAACATATTAACAATCAAATTAAAGTTGTTGTGCATTTTAAACGAACAGGAGGAAGTTTCATTTTCTCTTAAAAAAATACTATCACTTTATAGACTCCCTAATTAAGCACTAAAAAAATTAGTTTGGTCAACAGATAACATTTCAAGATTATGACCGTCCAATGAAACAATTTTTTGAACTTTTCACGTAGATAAACACTCAAGAAATATTAATTGTTATTTTTGTTCAAACTTTTGACAGTTCAAAATACGACATAGATTATTGGCTATATATATATGTCTCATTTCAATACAATGTTATCATTAGCACATAAGATTTCCACAACTAAAAATGGTCAAATCTACCCAATTCTGCCTTTTTGCGGTATGTCTCATTTCGGTTCTTATTGCAAGCACTGGTGAGTTCTTAATCAACCCTTGATATTAATATTACAATTTTTTTAGGGCATATTACAATTATGCTTTGATATTGTAGTCTTATATGTTGTGTTATTTTTATGCATATAGATATATAAAGAGCCATAGTATTAAAGGAAATAAAGTCGACAAGATTATATTCTAATTGTCAATTCAGATTTCAATTTAGTGATTTGACATCGTTTGATATGTGTGTGGTCATTATTGCATAAAACATATACTTGTATATGTTTATTTTTGCATGCTTGATTAGTTTTTTCAAAGGAAAATTAAGCTATTGACCCTTTCATCTCATCAAATTATACACATAACTCAATAATGTTTCTTATGTATTCAGTTGCTCAGCAATAAGATATGTAATATTTTTTAAGATTTAATAGTAGTTATTTGAACGGGCGTTCCTACAATATTAAATAATTTATTAGAGGAGTTTAAATTAAAGGTTGATATATATTTTGTTGATTAAAGGAGAGCTCTCTCTTTTTCTAATCTATGAACGTCCTCCATTGACCACCAGTCCACCCCCACCACCACAAGCATTCATCAACCTCCTTCAACAACCACTATATGCACCACAATCATCTGTTTGCTCTCATATAGCTAATTTAATGGTTCAAGTAAGCATAGTTTGCTCTAATGATAAGACATATTTCAACCTTAAAGCCTTAACTATGAATTCCATCAATTACAAATTTTATTGTGCACATATATAAGAAAATTTAGCAAACCCCCCCACCCCCCAATTTCATTACTTGGAATGTTTCCATAACCCAATAAATATCAACTAATATACTTCCTCTCTTTTAAATTACTTGCAACTTATACAACCTTGTGGTAAGCAGTTTGATGTTAAGATTATATAATGTAAATGTACAATTTAATCAAAATAATTTTTCATATTGTACCCAACATTTCCCTATTCCTTGTTTTAAAATTATTTTGATGAAATGATGAAATTATTCGTTTACTACCTTTACTAATCATCTCCTTAATGTGCCTGCATAGAGGCTGTGTAGCAAACATACAAGTAAAAGAAAACGGAGGAGTGTTATTATCTGTCAGTTAAACATATTGATTGATTTAATCCATCAATCTAACCAGCATTTAACCCTATATAATTCCGAGTATTGTGATACAAACTAATTAGTTTGAATTTTTTTCAGAAATCCAAAAGGGTGAAGCAGCTCTTATAGGTCCAATTATAAGGGCTTTAAGTCGTCTGAATTTCGAAAGAATATACAGTGCGGTACAACTCGAACAAATGCTCCGTAATTTACTACCAAAATGTACCGTGTTAAGCAACAGTACTGATCCCGTTATTTGTCCAGAAAATGACGATGATACTAACTGCGTACACCAGTGCAACAAATTAACAGCAGACGACACTGTTAATGGGACGTGCCTCGACTTCCCGGGGTTTAAGCCTCGTTGCTTCTGTTCAGATTTACACCATTGCTATCGTAATTGATTCAAATCGAAGAATGATCATTCGTATTGCTAATATAATTTCTATGAACTTAAGGAATGTTAACCATATATATATATACCTAATGATCACCTATTGTGTGTATTTGATTGTAATGAATTATGGATCGGTTTCTGCTATATCGATATGATTTACATTATATTAGCAGGTACGCTTTATTGTATGTATATGTATTATCATTTTTTTTTTTCGAATTCTTTACATAATTACATGTATAATGTAGCATATACTTATATGAATTGAAGAGTGTTTTTATTATGAAGATACGGAGTATTATGATTGAGTTTTTCTTTTAAAATTTCCTGGCCTCTTTTCTTGCTGCCTATGTAAATCCACGTCTTAATTGGTTATCTTCGATTCAACTTATTGAAGTTGATATTTGCTTATTGGAGAAGTAATCAAATTTTATCAAATCAGACTAAATAAGATCGCCCTATTGGAAGACCTCAATAGAGACAAAGTCCAATCCGAATTCTCCTAGCAACATTTTTTTTTTGTCATTTAAAATTTATTAAAATTACATATTTGAAAAGTGCATATTAATAGAACTTACGGATATTACATTCGAAAAGTTTTATCTTAGAAATTAGTGTACAAATTAGGTCGAAATTTGGTCAAATCTAGAAATTAGATAAGATGAATTGGACATAACCTTAGCTCAGACTAAGCTTGTAGGAAAGGGACGAGACTAGGACCATTATTGCGGACTTTTTCAGAAGTGCAATGAGCATGGTGACCATTATTCAAGTGCTAAATATAGGTTATTAAATTTGTGTATTGGCATGCATAATCTATGAAGGTGGGTATTATTCATACTCCCTCCATTTCAAATAATTGCACACGCTCTCTTCGACACATAATTTAAGAAAATGATAGGTGTGAACCAATAAATTAAGTTGTTTAACGTTAAATAAAGTTAGTGGATTTGGTTTATATTACTTCTTGTATTATAAAGGGGACATGTGAGAGTGGAAAATGTTAGTGCACTTATGATGAGTTGATGACTATAGTAAATACTTCGTATAATTTTATAATAGTGGTCTCTTGTCATTTATGGGAGTGTATCAATTGTTAAAACGGCCAAAAGATATAAATGTGTTAATTATTCTGAAAGAAAAGGCGTATCAATAATCAAAATTATCAATCCTTCTTAATCAAGGGATGTGCAAAATCCAATTCAAATTTAAAACCAAATAAAGGAATAGACCCAAACTGAACCAAGGGATTCAACTCATTAAAAAACCTTGATTGTAGATTTTAGCTCCATTCCAGTCTAAAGTCCGGACCATAAATGCTTATAATATAGATTTTGAATAATTGGTTGAAAGCTCAGCCCAGTAGACTTCGGCCTTTTTTTTTATTTAGCTACCCCCACAAAAATATAATCCACAGCAACATCAAATTATGTCCCTAATAAAAACGCTTTTTTGGCGTGCGGCAAGGTGATACACACTAAAATACTTATCGAGTAATTCCGGCCACACCGTGTGGCCAGCCACATATGAAAATTATTATTGCACCAAACATAACCTAAACTAATTTAATGATATTTTTGCACTAAACATAGCCTAAATATACGAAGGTGTAAACATTAATCATATAATTTGCCCCGGATATATATAATACCAAGTGCATACGTACAAAGAGTGCAATAAATTGAGAGCAAAAGATGGTTGATGCATCCAACCGACAAGTTATACAATTCGTTGCTTAATTATGTTCATATTATACAGTATTATACATCATTGCTTTCGTACGCTCAGCATTGAAGGCCAATAATTATACATGCAAGTAATTATTAGTGATTGTGATATATAGTAATCCGACATATTAAGATCATAATCTGCCAATGATCATAAATATTATATAAATAATTAAATATGTATGGACTTTGGTACTATCTTTTATTCAAAGTATGTATGTTACTAATTATAATAAATCATAATTATTGTGTTCACATCTTTTGAATGTATAATGCATACGAAAAGCTGAAAGATGTATAACTAACAACTGTTTACGGTTACAACTTGAAAGGTTTATTAATTACTCGTATTATGATTATATCTAACATCTTTGGTCCATTGTCAAAATACAATTAAAGAAATTTATGCAGTACAATTAACTACGTAACTAACTATTAAACATAGGTTTCTAAAGTCAAATTTGAGAGCCTATCAGATTTTTAATAAATAAGCTAGGAAGAGTATAAACAGTTTAATTTAAAGTCACCGAATGCTTCAATAATGATAATCACAAGAAGGACAAGTTATCTAGTATGCACCTAAGAACACCGTGCATCCAATGGTATTTCAAAAAAAAAAAAAAAAAAAAAAAAAAAAAAAAAAACACTTCGTGGGCTTTATATATTGACAAATTTGTACTCTTTAGTGACAAATTTGTACTGTAAGATGTTTTTATAAACATCATCGTCTTCAATTTACAAAATTCAACTCTGAGATCTACTATATACGTGGTATGTCGGTTTAAGATAGCTAAAGCTGTACGAAATCAATTTACCTAAAAATTAAAAGACAACTAAATTAATTTAAATTGTCAAGTTCTAGTTGATTTGAGTTTTTAAGTATCCCCTTTTGCTATAACCTCGATTCTCTCACTCATCCATCCATCTTCGATATAGAAACATTAAGTAGCCATTTTCTTGTATAGACACCTACTTTTGGCTCACTGACACAAAAAAAGAAATTCACTGATGAAGATTTACTTGTAAGTCATATATTTATATAATTCCCACTTATCAACAATGAGCTAAGCTTTGATGGCTAAAACTCATGAGCCTCCTTGAACATACTTGGTGATCTAAGACATCTAAACTCATTTTATGGCAATCTTCCTCTACAATCCTAAGTTGACGATACCTTACATAGCCATCTAACGAAAATGTACTCGTGTTTAGATAATATAACAATAAAAAAATCTACAACATGATAGGATATTGATTATTGATCCTTTGATGTTGTTTTGTTCAAGTCTTCATAGTTTATATAGACTCAAACCTTACCAATATCCTCATGATATAAATTATGTTAATGGTGATTCATTCATTATGTTTGATTGGTTTTATGAAATTTGCTTTATGTATAATAAAACTCTGCTTTATGTCTCTGTATTTTAATTATGTCTTCGTTTTCAGCGGATTTAGTCCATGCTTGTAATAGGAGTTCAGGTTCATAACATTTTGATTCATATGTATTACAGAGTATAACGAATCATATTTATATAGGTTTTTTTAGGCACGTTTATGCTAGTTTTATAGTTTTTTCTTAACCTTTTTTGTCGTTTTTAGGGTCGTGTCTGCATGAGCTACCATATGTCGCTCTATTACCCTCCGTTTGTGTTTTTCTTAATGTTTCAGGTGATTTCATGGTCATTTGGACGCTTTCGAAGTGTTTCACTAGTGGAAAAAACGCTATTAACAACTGGAGAAAAGTGGCTTTTAACAATTGGCGCATGGGGCTGCTATTGCGAGGGCTACAAATGAGATTATTATTTGCAACTGGCACTTGTTCGCTGCTAATAGCGTTTATTCGCAACTGGCGTAATACTAGGCCAGTTGCTAATAGTGTTTATTCGCAGCTGGCGTAGTACTAGGCCAGCTGCTAATAGTGCTTATTTGCAGCTGGCGAGTACTAGGCCAGCTACTAATACATGTTTTTTTATTAATAAACAAAACTATTCGCAGCTGGCTAAGGACTACGCCAGTTGCGAATAGTCAATTTTTTAAAATAAAAAAAAAATTGCAATTTTTTCAAATTGATACACAAACTATATTATATACTATTGTAACAAAACTTATGTTATTTATGAAGTATAATTACAAATTAAAAAATACAATTCCCTCAAAAAAAAATTAACAAATATAATACAAGGCTCTTTAACACAACAACAAAAGCGTCTCAGAACAATGAAATTTATGAGCAATAGTGGAGCAGCTACACGAACGACTCAAATTGACTGAATTCGCTGTTAATTTTCCTCCAATACAACTACAATAAACAACAATAGATTAGAGATTCATCTAAAAAATACAACAAAAATATACGGTGAAAGAACCTAGATACTTGAGTTTCGGGTTTTAATGAGAGAAATACACACACTGATTTTAATGCAACCCAATAACACAACATTAATACACTACATACACCCACATACAACACGTACAATACCAAGCATTTGATTTCACATGGCCAGTAGCTATTCATACAAATACACATGGTCTGAAACTGCAACCCATAACTAGTAAATTTGAATTAAAAACAAGAGAAATGCAGTAGCAAACAATAAAATAAAATGAAATTAATATGAGGTCTGCAATATTAAAATTCACAATCAGTCTCTATTTCAAGCTAGCAAAAGTGCTATTCATTTCAGATTAACTTGTAATCGTCTAGATGCATTGGTTTGAGTTGGAAATTTTTTTGAATCTAGATCATCAGGAAGTTGTGCTCCATGCTCATATTGAGGTTGGATGCAATGTTGTTGAAGAGATCATCAAAGGGTAGCTTAAACGAAACAAGTAGGGCATTAGTGTAAGCGTTTACTAGTATAAAGATTAAAGGCCCAAAAAGAAAGGCATAGGTTTCTCATACCACTGGTATCATACAATACATCAGCCCCAAGTAATATTAGGGGATGCAATTCGATAATCTGTGCATCCCAGATTCCCCATGTGAGTCCCTTTACCTGCATCAAGAGCAGGTTAGCGCAAAGATATGTGAATTTTGAACAGGTAAGGGAGTGATGAAATCAAATAGTCGATCGACATAGTAAAAACAAAAAACAAAAAAGGCAAATGGGGAAGATAATCAATCTTTATGCTAGCCATTCTACTAAGTAGAACCCTTCCCTTCCACATAAAGCTTTAAATTGCAAGAGAATTGAAATTCCTCTTCTTACAAAACTAAATGTTCTCTAGGCATATGCAAGTAAAATTTAAACACACTCACAATATAACCCCTTGGATTTTCTGGCAAGATGTATTTCCTTCCTATTTGTTGCTTTAACCATATAATTTATATAAACAATACGGAGTACAACACAAACCGAACTGAAATGCTTGCAGCAAAATAAGACAAGGATCAGACATTACCTTACAGCTTAGCTTTTTAAGTCACAAACTCTCCTAATGTTCTCTACCACCTGCTATACAGCAAGTCAGCAATTAACCCATGTAGTTGTGAAATATATATTAATATCAAACAACTCATAAAATGAGGGAGAAAAAAATAAAAAATAAAAAAATAAATTAAAAAAAGTCCAATCAATCAATAAATTAGAAACATACAATTATACAAACTCTAGCAATTATACAAATCAAGTGAAGAGGCTCGGTTCAGTAAATTAGAAACATACAATTATACAAACTCTAGCAAGCAATAACACAATCCAATATATATGTTAATCAATCATTCAAAATCAATAGTGACAATTTAGGTGGAGGTCTAATATTAATGATTCATGTTTATCTGCACAATCAATCAGCAAAGATTTCTGGCAAGCAATCACAAGATCAAACTTTTCAAATTCAATGGTAATAGTTGAACTCATTTAGTCACTTACCAATCTTAATATTCGATTTTGAGACCGAGATTTTTTGGCTTAGTGAGCAGCAACTCGAAATAACTGGGTAAGGTCTGCCTAACTTCCTCATGAGCTCACAGACAACCCCCTAAATGCAGCAATTGCAGAATCAACTTCACTTGTAAATTACTTTCTCACCTTCAGAAACAGAAAACAACAGGTAAAATTTAACTTCTGTAGAATACATCAAAGCCCTGATAGCAGAATGAAACTCCAAACGCACACTCCATCAATAACAAAAAGAGAATGCAAGAGGCATTGCAAAAATTGGTAAAAACATTTCTGATCACCATATAAAATTTCTTACCTGGGCAACAAAAACAACTGCATTTCAACACCCAGAAAACAAAATTCTCAAAAACCCTCAATCAATTTCAACAACACAATCAAGAAATAACATTAAACCACCAACCTCATCTGGGTAAAACGTTCAATTACCAAACAATGGAACAATTAATCAAATTCTAACAAAAAATTGATTGAAATTACAAGATTAAAAAACTACCCAAGAAGCAGAATTGGAAAGAGAAGCAAAGGCAAAACGATGATTGGGATTAATGGTGAGTTTGGCATTGATGAATAAGAGAATGGATTGTTTGATTGAATCAAGCCGGGTAATGGGTCGTCCATTGGGTCCAGTGTTCTTCATTTCAACCATACTTTCGTTGTCAACATCAATAAATAAAAGTATGTCTTCGTTGCTGTATCGACTTGGTTTCAATGTGTACGCTGCTCCACCGCTTCCGCTGCCCTCCACCACTTGAAATTCCATTTTTCTCTCTCCTCTGACCGGGGTGTTTACCAGCTCTTTTTTTTTTTTTTTTTGACAAAGCTCACAAGATCTAAGCCTATCAAAAGCTCCCTGCATCTATTGGTTGTTACCCATTTCACCCCAAAAATTAGAAGATTCATACTCAATTAATCTTATTTTCGCAAATTTAACTAAGCACAAGTACATGCAAGCAATTAACAATTAAGATTTGTACTCTCACACAACACCAATAAAACAAATTGTACATTAAAGAAACAAATTTTGGAAAAAGGCATACCAGACGATTGGTTTGGGAAGCGAAAGTCATTGTAAAAGAGGAAATCGCAAACCCTAGACGATGAACAACAACAACAATAGCGAGGAACCACAAATCTCATCGAATTTCGAATATCAACACAACAAATCAACTTGATTCACAAACATTAAAACCCCCAAAATCAGAATCAATTCCGAATCAAGCTTCCATTCCGCGCAACCCAACGTAAAATCAATTCGCGAAAAACAACAAATCAACATATCTTGAATGAACAGAGAATACAAAGAAGCAGATTTAAAAGGAAGAGATAGTAAAAATGGTGGGATTCGAGCCCTCAAAATCGGCTCAAAATCGCAGCCCTCATAGAAGATGAAGAAGAGTGAAGGAGGAGGAGGAGAAGCTAAGGTTGGGCGGAAAAAAAAAAAACAAGTAGTACTTCTCCTTTGGGAAAAAAAAATAAAAAAATAAAAAAAATAAAAAATAAAAAAAATAGGTTAAAGGTTTTAGTAGCGGGCAGTTTAAGGTCAGCTACAATTATATTGGTCAATATTAATTTGACCTAGTATTTGTAGCGGGCAATTAAAAGGCCAGTTACTAATATAAATTCCAATTTTAAATTAATTATTATTAGCAACGTACATTTTTACGCCAGTTGCAAATAACGATATATTTGCAACTGGCATTAAATAGGCCCGCTGCTAATATTATTTTCTTTTTTATAACAACACTTATTAGCAGCGCTTCTATCTACGCCAGTTGCTAATGGCATATTATTTGTAACTGACGTTATTTTAGCTAGTTGCAAATAGTGTGTTAGTAACTAGCATATTTAGCGCCAGTTGCTAATAGGGTGCTGCTAATAGCAGTTTTTCCACTAGTGTTTGGAGATGATTCGGATGATATTTGAATGGAAATCGATGGATCGAGTTCATTGATCGAGGGTTTATGCTCATGGGTGTTGAATCTGAGGATTTTATGCATGGGAAATGAAAATAGCATCCACGAGATTCCTTATGGACCTTTCGAAAACAAATTTTAGTTAGAAACGAAGTTAAACAACGATTTACAAAGTGTCAAAATAGACTTTTGTTCCCTCTTTTGATCATAACTTGAGCTCTACATATCAAATTGAAGCGATTCAAATTTGGTTGAAAACTAGACTTGAACAGCTTTCCAATGATAGGTCACACGCTCCAAGAAGCCTCCTAGAACACAAGATATAGCCGTTTCAATTCAAGCGATGCAGTCAGCCACCTGCGGGATATTGCTGCGGGCAACCCTGCGGCCACTCGAATTTGCTGCAGTTACTGCCAGGGCGCGGCCACCAGCCATGCGCCCGCAGGTTTGGTCGAGTGGTGAGCAGCCTTTGAGGCCACGAGCAGCCTTAACTTCTCACGTCATTCCATGTCATCGGTCCACTGAGCTTATTTGTGTCCCATATCATCTTCTACCATCCAATAACATTCTAGCTTATGTATTTATTATTTATTTATTTCAATTTTAATTAGCTTGGGATTAGGCTTTAATATAAATACTTGAGAGGATTTTATTTCTTCTCTTATGCTCTATTTTCTAGATTAAAAGCTTCCTTAGTTTTTCTCTCCATTGTTGAGCCCTAGTTTATTACTCTTCATTAATTCAATCATCAAGGTATTTTCATTTAATCTTTTGTTCTTTATTTTATTTATTATGAATTCTAGTTTATTTATCTCTTTTGTTTTGTTTATTTAAAGTATGAGTAAGTAGTCGTTTTTTAGGGCTAAGTGAGGGAAGCAATGTTTATACCATGATTATGTGCTTGTTTATTTATAAATATAATTCATGAATTAGGGTTTGAATGATGCCAATTGATTTGCGCTTTATTGTTTGATTCATGCAATTGGTCAATATCATAAGTTAATTATTTAGCTAATAAAAATTAGAATTGAAAGATTATATTTTTAGAGGCTTAATTACAATTGACGAATTTGATTATGCAAGCGACTGAACTACATATGTTAATTCGCAAGTGTTAAGTCCCGACCGTAGGATTAACAAGTGCTTTAATTATTCGACCTAGTTTGTTTATTAATTAATGAATTGTTTGCAAATTGGTATAAGCATGGTGGACCGAATATATGCCCTAGACCTTTATTTATTTGAGAACAACTATATTTTTAATATTGTCTTAGTTTAGGGAATTAATTATCAAATCATTCTTCGTTTATTGAAATAGTTTATGATAATTGGGCAAGCTAGAACAAATAGAACCTGTCTCCCTGTGGGATTTGACCCGTATTTTCTAAATCTCTGCTAACAACAGACACTGTGCACTTGCGATATAACTTTTTATTCAATTAGAGTACAAAATATGTCTACTTGTTGTATTTCAACTTCAGATACATATGCTTGTTGTTCAATTTGTCGATTGCATTTGAAGGAAGCTTTATTCGTTGGTCTGGTAGCAACATCGTTCCCAAATCAAGCAATCTTTGTGTTGGATGCTAGGGATGAACTTCATAAATGTCATGAGAAATTCAACATTATTAGAAGATATAGCATAAATGTCCTCATCCGTGTGGACTTTTTCTAAGGATGTACCACACTACCACTCCATAAATTAAGTAAATAACCATATGATGTAGAGAAGAAGGGATACCATAACGAAAATGTAAATGTACACGCCTAGGCCAACCCAAACTATCTCCTAAGCCCAAACCACGTCAATTATAAATGCAATTCAAGTCTTACAATGACATATACACTTCACCTTTTTTTCATTAAATCCAATCCATATCGATCTGATACGATATAAGCGTTACACCATCGATCACCAACCTCACCTCGACCCCATTATCCCCCAAATAAAGAAAGGGAAAAATATAATAATGTTATAAAGATCACAAAACACAATAAATCCATGTATGTCATAAGCTCATGTGACATGCCTATATATTTTTTTATGCATTAAATGATTTCCCAATTTATTATATAGAGCTATAATTATTGACACCCAAGATGGTTGTGAAATACAGATGTACGTACACGTAACAAAATCACCCAATTCGTTCCCCATAATATATTAGGCCAAATCTCCCTCCAAACTTTCACATATATAGTTACACTCTCTCTCCTCTTTCATTTATTCCTCCAGCCTAGTACCAACCACTTTCCTCCTCTTCTCCTCAACCAAAAAACTACCCATGTTTTATCTCTTCTTTCTCCATTAAACTCCTTAAGAACCCATTAATTTGACGAAATCGAATAGTCGAGTACAAAACCAAACAATCGATTACATATCGATATTAGTACTATTAGCTGAAAATGGAAGGAATTTCAGCTAATGTGTACAAAGGTATTAGAGGGTATTGGAACAGAAAAGGGTATAAAAAGCTAGACAAAAAAAACAAAAATTATGTCCAAGCCGGCGACCCGGTTGTTGGAACCGGGTCGGATTTGGATCCGAACCGGGGTCAGGGTAAGGGGCGAGGGCGGAAGCGGAGGTTCTTTCGGGTAACAACAGGGCGAAGGATGCGGATCTGGAGGAAGGTAGTGGGCATGCCTAAGAAGTGGCTGACCCGTTTAAGGGATGCATATGTGAATATGATGCTTAACTTAGCTAACTCCGGGCTTGCGGTTGGCGGTGCCGCAGCCGGGTTTGGAGGATCCATTGAATATAGCGGGTTCGGGTATGGATATGGTAATAATAATGGTAATAGAGGTCAACTTAAGGAATATGATGAGAAGATGATTGTTGAAATTTATAAGTCTTTGATCATTGCTCAAGGACAACTTGGAAATGGTGCTAATAAAGTTGCTACTACTAACTCTCAGCAGCAACTTCTTAATAGTCCTCCAAAAATCACCATTTCTGCGCGGTAACTTTTTTTTTTTTAATTTAATGATTTTTTTTTTCTTTTTTTTGAGATTAATTAATTATGAGGTAAAAAAAAAAAAGGGTTGGAACATGTTACTAGTCTTACTACTTAGGCGGTACTAGCTAGTGCTCCAAGCTGACTTCTATGTCATGTTATTGAATCTTGATAATTGATGTGTAAGGGTATTTTAGACTTTTAATTTCAATTATTAGAATAATAAAATCTCTTTTTAATTAATTTCGACGTCAAAATGTGACACTTATTTATAGCTTTGAAGGCTATGTTTAACAAACTAAACTTAAAAAAGTATAGGTAGTAGCGTATGTTATTTGATTAAGTGAATTATATAGGATTTTGAGAGCCTGGAATTATGTGTTTTATACTCCTAGTTTGACTACTATTTGGCTACTTAATCGAAGAATAACACGAATTTATACAATCAAATAACTTATAATACTCCCTTTTTTTTCTTTATGTTTTGGGTAATTTGGTAACAGAATTGACAAAGACATGTAATGAAAAATACAAATGGGTTAACGTTTTTATAAAAAAAATTGCAATTTTGAAGTAAATACTAAACATTTTGCTTAAAAGATAATAGTTTTGAACACCATTAAGCTTTATATTTAATACCAAGTATTTACATTCATGAGATATGTAAGGTTTGATAATATGAGAAATCCACAAAACAAAAACAGATGAGCATTTGCTCAACTTCCACCACAATTACTTTAAGTTAATTATTTTCATAATCTAGAGAACTTTTATTTTAATTTTTTTTTTTTTTTTTTTTTTTTTTTTTTGGTGAAATGAGGGTACAAAAACCCAAACTATTCCGGTCCAAAACACAGCACGTTCGCTAATCCGTTACCCAAAACACAAATTAAGGGAATAAAACAAACTAAAAGTTAATTACATAAGAAATGGAGTATGGAATATCCAACAAAACCAATCATCAAAAATGGAGTAAGAAGAATTAAATCTTTCATAAACAACTTTTTGGCTTCATCAAGAATTTGGGAAAAGCAAAATCCATTTATAGTTTACCAAAACTCTAATTGAGATCAATTGTTCCTCGGCAGGGGTTGTCATTACATAGAAACATTAAATTTAAGTAAACTAACATTACCAACTACCATAATAAACTTTTACATATCGTTCCAAAATAGATTAATTAAGTATTCACACCAACAATGATAGAAAATCATAACAAAAGTGTAATTTATCTAATTGTTTATTAGTATGTTCCTTTTCTCTGTAGAAAATGTGTGTTAATACTTTTGAACATCATGTTTGGAGTAAGTAGTGTTTTGTCAATCCTTTTGAATACAAGTATCATGTTTTGAGTAAGTAGTAAGGCATTGTTACTAAATGTTCACTTAAATATTTGTAAACACAAATTGTAAGTCTACTAATAATAGATTCAAAATCAATATAACAAATTGTTGATTTTGATCAATCTGAGAGTTTTGTATACAATCTCTATTTTGATCTATTGATTCAATATTGACGTTGAATTTGGCTCGCCTCACAAACCGGTTTGGTTACTTGATGAAGGACCGTCGTCGAGGATTCAGCTCACAAACTGATTCAGTTACTTGATAAAGGACCGTCGAGGCTTAATCTCGATCAAATATAATTGTATTAATTGCAATGTTTAATCTTAAGTAATGTGAGGGAAATACATTAATTAAATCAACTCATTTAAGTTAATTTAATTAAACCAGTTTATTTTCAATGGTTAAAATCCAACAAAATGGTTGGGCAATGAAAAACTCATATTATAACTCTTAACTACAACATTCGGAAATAATGTGGTAAGTCAATGACATGAGTGAACACAATGAAATAATTCTTAATAGAGTTTAAATTTGAAATTATAAACTAGCTAGTGAGCTACTAGTTATAGGTAGATTTTAGCACTAGCATAAAGATGAATTGTAGAGTTGAGTATTAGCATTAATGAGCTTTAATAATACTAGATTAATTAAGATGGACATTAAGTGGAAAAAAGATTAGTATCAACCTAAAAGGAAAGATCACATTTAGCTTAAGCTTCACGAAGTTGAATTTGAGTAGGCGTTTTGACATATAATCACAACTGACAACTTTAAATAAAGGGAACAAATAAGGCAATGTGATACTTACAAGTTACAACACTATAATGAATTCCATTCGGAATAATGAGGATACTTATTTGTTCTCTATCTCACCGAATTTTTTTTGCCAACATCGGTAAAATATTATTATTGGGCAATTTCTTAAAAGTAATATACGCGTTATTCCAATTTCGATCATCAGATGTCGAAGCAGACGATTACTTATGTCTCTTTGTTATTAATGAATATCATTTTGCAACTTACACGGAAGAGGAAGACTTTTGTCAATGACTACACGGAATAATCAAATTTGGTCCATATAGCCGACACCACTTATGAGATTAAGGTTTTGATTGATTGATTGATTTTACAACTTACCATTAGGATTATTTAAAAAATTTCCTATGCCGAATGAACGAGGTGGAGAAAATAAAAGAGGAAAAAAAAAGGTATTAGGTTTTATTTTTTAAGAGAGCCACAATGACGGGTAATGAGAATCGATTCCAGGATCACCTGGAATCAAAAAAGAGCTTTAACCACTTGAGTTATCCCTCACTCTCTAAATTTTTTTTTTTAAACAAAAGGGTAGGTAAAAATTACTAGTCCCATGTATGGAAACCAAGCACACTAAAATAAATTCATTCATGACTAATTGCAGCTACTAAAAATAGAAATTATCTTTGATTTGAATAATAAAAGCATTATATTACAGAAAAATCATTGAACTTCAGGAGAGCAGCACATTAAGATTTAGGATCATGTATGGGTAGGGTCCAACCAAGATTGGTACGAAGTCTCACGCTATCTTCTTCGTTGGGAATCTTTGGATGTGACCTCGTATTTTAACCTTATTATCCCAAGAAAAATGAATAAAATTTATAAAATTTCCCTTGGTTCACACGAATCACACCTTCATAAATTTAATGTCAAGCTCCCCCATGCTCTACATTGCATGTGATTGGCAACTTTGATGTGAAGGCATTTATTATCATTAGTGAAACTTTAGTAAATGGTGGATCTTTACCAAGATCTTCCAACAACCTTATAAAGGGGAGGGTTGAGGGTGGTTTTGATGCATTATGAAGACTCTCCCCGTTTTTAAAGTTTGACGCGTTTATTGTGTACAATTTAGGTTTTAGAAAAATAAATAAAATAAAACTAAGACCACTTATAACGGTGAGCAAAAAAAATGCTCACTCACTATCTTTCTACCCACTTTCTCTCTCAACAAATCAGTTTTGCCCATGGGCAAATTTTTTTCACAATTTCTCTCCCAATGGTGAGCAAAAAAAATTCCCATCCACCACTTTCTCTCTCTTACTTTTTCAATACTCACCATTACTTTCTCTCTCCTAGACAACACTTCTTTATTTATTAATTTCATTTATATTTTAACAATATTACTCCAAATAAATTAAAAACTAGTTTAAATTTGTGTAACTTATATTTTTTATTTTTGTCTTTTTTATCGTTAAAATTTGTCGTAAATTTAAATACGTTATATGAAATAATTGTAAGGAATATGGAGGATTTATGGTTTTTATGAAATTATATCAAAATATACCAAAATGCATCTCTATTTATAGAGAAAATTTTTTTTATGATCGTTGGTAATTTTTTTTTTTTTTTTAATAAACATATTTTTCAGAAATTCAATTACAATAATATTACCGTTGTGTAACAGCTAGAATTTTCTGATTGGTCCATAAACTGCAAGCGACACGTGGCGGCCCCTCATTCACTAACTGACTGACGCGCGTCAATCAGTGTTTAATTTTTTTTTTCAAAATTTGGACCTCAAAATGCGTTGTTTTGAGCTGCAATCCTCTGGCCCAATTCGCTAAACGACGCGTTTTGATATGGGGTCAGCGTTTTTTTAATTCTGGCTGTACGTTGTGGGGCCCACAATAATTACTATTCATCATAAAAAATACTCAAGCTATGGGCATTTTCAGAAATGCTCATGAGCATTTTTTGGGTTTTTCTCATTTGCTCACCATTGTAGAGGATGCCTCAAATTTTAAGTCCTTCAAAAATGCCCATGAGCAAAATTTTTGCTCACCATTGACAATGCTCTAAGTCAAATTTTTTTAAATGGTTTATAATAAAAAGCGAGTTGAACTTTCATGTTCATCATGAGTAAGAACTTATTCTCTTAGACTTCTTATCAGTTTTTTAGTTTAGTTTTAGCTCACTTTATTTGTAGTTATTGTTGTTGGTAGCTCATTTCATTTTAATTTAACTTAACCTTAGTTTACTTCATTTCATTTCAAGTCGTTTTATTTCTGCTCCATCCGTATTTAAATCAATGAAACGTTTTTACTTTTGCACTATTCATCTAATTTACTTTGACTAATGTTTGTGATTTATACATACGCTAAGAATAAATATAAACTTGAGGGTAGTCGTTGGAATCGTTTCGATGAATATTTTATTAATACTATGGAAGCCTATGCGCGCGTTGCACACAGATGTTTAGTTGTTATGGTCGAATTTTAAAAATTTGCCCTAATATTGGAAGCTTGTTAGGTAGGCTTTTAAACACATACTAAGAGCATTACCAACAATGATAAAAATAATAAAAAAATAAATAAAAAAAACTTCATTATTCTCTCTCTACTCACTTTCCCACTCGCTCATTAGCATTTTGATGATCATATTTTTATCCCACCAATTATAAAAAAAAATAAAAAAAATCTTCACCATGACACTATTCTCTCTCTACCACATCATTCTCTCTTACTTTTACTAATACAAAACAAAATTTGTACAATTACTTTTACTAATATAATTCAATTTATCATATGGCCAAGGTTGACTAAGAGATCTAACTGTAAAAATTAATTGGCTTTAGTCTAGAACAAAGAATAGTTATGGTTAAATATTTAATAATAGAATACAATCATGTAAATAAGATGGAAGGATATACAAATCTTTCTGCAAAAAATTATTAAAATTTAAAGGTGCATATGTAGTATACATAAAATGAAAAAAATAAAAAATAAATAAAAAAAACGTTCAAATTACCTCTTAGTATACAAAAGGGTTGGTCACCCTACCCTACATAATCAAGCGTTACAATTACAATTTTAAAAAAAGCAAACAAATCAACACAAGCAACTTAAATGCTAATTTTAT